TTGGCGTCATGCATGATATCCATATAAAAGTTTCGATCTAACGACACCTGGCACAGGAATTGAAAATAATATTAACTCAAGCCACATTATTTGAATTTTAGTTAAATAATTTTAAAAGGTTTTTTATTGGATGCAATGAATTCGAAGTAAATTTAGCAAAATATTGATTTTCTTTATTATTTAACATGTTAAAATTCAGTTTTACGCATAAAAAATACATTTTATTGAAATTTGCCAATAATTTTGACGATCACTTATATATATATATATATATATATATATATATATATAAAGAGAGAGAGAGAGAGAGAATGAGAGAAATTACAAGAAACGTTATTTTTAGTGGCTACCCATATTTGAGTAGACACTCTGTTTATTTATTAAACAGTATACTTATTTATATTCGTCTACCGGCAAGAATATTCAAGAAATCTTATTTTTAAATAATGCGCCCTCTGAGAGGATTCAAAACTGCATCCCCCTAAGCCGGAGAAACCGTCATTGGATCCGACGTGCTTTAGATCAACTCGGCCACGAAGTGTCTCACCGATCTAACAAAGCCGAATAGTACCTTTAAACGCAACTTTCTTTAAAGAAAAAATATATACTGTTTAATAAATAAACAGGGCATCTACTCAAATATGGGTATCTACTAAAAATAGCGTTTAAGTCGGATTGATAAATGAAAAATCCATTACTTCTTTAGAAATTGATTTGTTTACTTTATGATACGAAACTGAACCGATATGAATATTTCAAGAATCTTTGAAGAAATTTTCGCTTAATTTCGCGGGTTTTGTCGGTCAACGAGGCTCTTCGTTGGTCTAAATAACATCGGATCTAACGATGGTTTCTCTTGCTAAGATGAACGCAGGTTCAAATCCTGTCAGAAGGCACAATTTTTTCTTTAATAGACGAAATTAAATATACTCTTTAATAAATAAAAGGAATATATATGCGTGTGTGTGTGTGTGTGTTGTATGTGTGTGTGTGTGTGTGTGTAGCAATAACAAAGATGATGTGAAGCCAGAAATGGTTTCAATAAGTGGAAGTCTCAATGAAAGGACATTTAAGGCAAGCAGTCTTTGCAGTAAAGTGCTCGATATCAGAGATAGAGCATTGATAGGATTACTGCAAATATAAAATTTGGCACTTAGCTTATTGGTGTTATATTCAGAACCTCTACTCCAGAGTTTCGTAAACAAACCTTTTGTGTAATCGTTCGGTCCACTCGTCAGAAGGTATCAGCAATTGTGTATCGATTTTCTCATTTTCGTTATCTTCATATTAAGTTTTAAAGAATAATCTATGCACTTTTTATTGATGTTAAGTTGATTTTGTCTTCTTATTTGTGTGTGGGGGTGTGTGCATGTGTATGCGTGTGTATGTAGGTGTGTTCCTGTACGTGTACGTATGTGAGCATGTGTAGGATGTCGTGGTTATTTTTTCTTTTCATAATTCCTTTGTCTCCTCATACTCTCTTGTTATTCCTTTTCTTTCTTTTCTCTATCTTTCGGTTTTGGGTGTCAAAAGATAATGTAATAATTTTACTTCGCCAAATTCAGAGAATTTGTATAGATTTAATAGTTTGCTCATCTATCTATCTCTTACACTCTTGATCGATAAGATTTTAATTTATCTGGATATATTGTCTAATTTAGTTGATGATATCTATTCACCACTGCGGCATATATATATATATATATATATATATATATATAATTATTTATTTACAAAAATTATAACATACATATGTTATAAAATCACTACAAAAATAGCCATTTTGTTTCAACACCTCCGGTGTCTTATCAAGTGATGAATGTTGAATGTAAAATAAATGGTTCTAAAAGTGAAATTAATTAACGATCCTTCGCAAAGGGAAAACGTTGTTACAAAAGCTAGAATGACCAATCAAAATACGAGTATAGGAAAATTCAAAAAGCTTGATAACGAAGTCATGTTATAATAACTATTCAGATTTTTAAAATAGGGGTAATATAAAAAAAAGAATTTATTCTAACCAATAATTATTAAATTATATGATAAAATTTGATATTAAAATTAAAAGTAAAAATTACCAATTTTAAAATCCAAATTTAATCACTATTAAGTTTAAAATTATAAAATTACTAAGGGGAAAAGAAGAAATACATATGTTATTTAATTTATTTCTTCATTGAAATTACGTTAGAATAGACGCTATGTCATCCGGTCTTCTGACAATATGTATGAATTTTAATCCCAAGTGTGTGAATGGGGTCCTAACCTCACGCGTAAAACAACGCAAACACACTTAGATTATGATACATAAGCACCCAGACATATTTAGATATATATACACACAAAAAGTGACGAGACAAGGAACATATATATATATATATATATATATATATAGAGCGTACTTGTATTAATAGATAAGGAAAATAATTACACACTAATACCCACATGCATCAACATACGCGCGAATGCGCAAACAATTTAGAACAAGCTGCGTATTGGGCGTTATCCGGAAACAGATGCATTCAGTTTGATAGCAATCAAAATCGTTATACAACACATTGGAAAGTGGTTGAAAACCATACCACTGGTGAAATTGGGTAGAAGGAACATAGCGGGACCGTCGCTAGCTGTGCTAAGCACGAAGTCACAAACCATCATGGGTTCTGTGGGTGTTGAACATACACAAATGTACGTCTGCAATAGGGATTGGCTAGACGGGTATCCTCGAATGCGAGTGGTCAACTATTATTATTATACGTTCATATATACATGCACACTCCCATATAAACGCATATATATATATATAGTATATGTGTGTGTGTGTCTGTCTGTGTAGTGGGGGGGGGCTAATTGCAACAAGAAGTCCATTTTGTTTGTAGTGAAGCCCAGTTCATAAGAGAATCTCTCATGAGAAGATTAATTTTTCCCAACCGACTGAAGAGGATCATTCAATTCGAAGTGAACTCTCCTCCACAACATGCGATTTATCTCTTATCTTTCCTAATTGATTAAAGTTACTTTGCAAGTGGATCTTTATTTATAATACACGAACGTGCCAACATATAACGCCATACATGTTACCGTGTCTTTCTTCGACTGAACGGACCATAAATGTAAATATATAACAAAATTGGTTTAATTTTACAAACATCAACTGAACGATATTTAGCCATCCTCTAATTCAGCGCTGACACAAAATGAATTCTGAATCAAAACTGAAGTACAGAGAATAATACATGATTCTTTTACTCGTTTTTTTTTCTTTTTAGATATTTTAATTTGATTAAACAACAATAATAAACGTAATTATTGACACAATTATTACTACGTATACAAATTTCTTGATTGCAATTACCGCCATTTTGGAAAAAATCGTTTGCATATATGTTTAAATTGACATTCATGTCTGAAATTAAAATGTCCATAGGACAATTCAAATAGTCTCATTCGTTTTTTTTTTTTTTTATTATTATTATTTTTACGTTCATCCGCCTTTCCTATGTTTAATATTATTTGCACGACAAAAAATTCAAACACGATCTTCCAGCAACTTTCTTTTTGTTTACATAGATTTAGAATTTCAGAAGAAAATTATCTGGAGACTTATAACTCCAACAGTATATATATGAGGAGTCAGAGTTTCTACGTCTGGTGTCGGAGTTACTATTAGTAGTAATGATGTTTGTTTTTTGTTTTTTTATTATGTATGAAAGGCGTCGCATATTCTTTCATGCGACTACCAGTTTGTGGGTTTAAGTCTAAGTTATAAAATTGTAGAGTCTGGTACACTACTGACGGACTGGCTACTTTATATGACGTGTCGAAACGATCCTTTGTAATGTAAGAGCATGCAGGGCTTGTGCGTACTACCCCGGAACCCCCTGACCGGGGCAGGGCAAGCTTGATTGGGGATTCCTGGCAGTGCTTTGTAACCCACGCTATCTTATCAACATTTTTGTTTTTCTACCTACATTTATATACGCTATAAAAAGAATTTTAGAATGGATATTTTATTAACCTGACAGATTTTTCACTTTAAATGTTATTTTTAGTGGATACTCGTATTTGAATAGGCGCTCTATTTAGGGACGCAGGTTCAAAATCTGCCGAATGTTAAGCAGAAATAACACCAAGACTTGTGTGTATTAATATATGTGTTTTATTACTGCCATCATATCAGGAACTGCCCTTCAGTTAAAAGCCCCTTAAGGCATTACAGATATTAGGCGTGACCACGTATTGGGCCGCTTGTGTATATAAGTCAACCAACATCCTCCATACATACAAAAGTCTGAAGTGTTTATTTTATGTGAGTTGCCATTCACCATATCGGTTGGGTGTCTTGCCTGCAGTGACTCTCTTCAGACGTGGTTGTCTTTCAGTTATGTCTGGTTGTTGCTGTTTGGTGTTTTCTTCACTGCCATTGTTGGTGAAAACTTGTTTGCGGTTTGTTTCCATCATGTTGCTGTGTTTTGGTCTAGTTGTGAGTCTTAGGTGTCTCCTATTTCTCACTAGTCTTTTCCTATTTTCCAGTTCGATCATGTATCGTCGGTATTTAAACTTTTCTGTGACATCTGCCTTTTTCCAATATTGGTTCTTGCCATATGGCTGCACAGTCACCTGGTCGCCCTTTCTTAATTCTATCAGGTCATGGGCATTTTTGTCATAGTATTTCTTTTGATGTTGCTTTGCCTTTCGTATTTTAGTTTTTGTTTCTTCCGCATTAAATGGGGATAGAAATTTCTTCATCTTCTCAATTGTCTTCCAAAGAATCTCTGCGCTGGGGACATTCCTGTGGATTTTGATGGTGTGTTGGTGAATTCTAGTATGGTCAGACAAGGATCACTGTTTTCATTATTACATTTTATTTGTTTTACGGCTGATTCTGCCATTCCATTGGAGTTTGGCATCTCGGGTGAGCAGGGATTCCATCTAAATCCGTATTTATGGGCCAGTTCTCTCATCATTTTGTTATCAAATTCAGGGCCCCCATCACTTACAACTTCTTCTGGGATGCCATATCTCATGAAGTGTTTCTTTATCAGCTTGATTGTGCAACCTGATGATGTTCCTTGGAGTCGATCAACCAAGGTATAATTGGAGAAATAATCCACACAGACTAGGTATTTCCTTCCGTCCAGTGTCATGGTATCGAGGCCAATACGTTGGAATGGGTATTCCGGCACTGGTCTTGTGATTAGTGTCTCTTTGCTATTTCTTGCAGAATATCTGCTACACTGTTCACAGTTGATATAACATTCCTGTAATTCGTGCCTCATTCCAGGCCAGAAGATTGTGTCTAAGGCACGTCTCATGTTACTTTCAACTGCTAAATGGCTTGTATGTGCCTTCTTCTTCATGTCATTTCTCATTGAGGCAGGTACAAAGACTCTGTCTTTGTAAAATATTAGATCATCTTTTGTTGACAGGTAGTCTCTGAATTTATACAGGTGCTTCAACTGAGGTTCAAGTGCTTTATATCGCATTGGGAAGCCTTGTTTAATTAGTTTTATGAGCTTCTGTAGATCCCGATCTTCTTTGGTGGCACTGACCAGTCTGTCTCTGGTCTGTTCACTTACAGTAAGAAATTCTAATAGATTCACTTCACTGAAATTAAACTGGAACGTGTCATCCTCTACTGGGGCTCGTAAAAGAGCATCAGTAATAATTATGTCACTGCCCTTTTTGTATGTTATTTTGTAATCAAAATTTTGTATTGAAAGCATCATTCTTAACAGTCTTTTTGGTACTTCGCTTAGAGGCTTGTTGCTGATTGCTTCTAATGGTTTGTGATCTGACTCTATTGTTGCATGTCTTCCGTAACAATAGTCGCCAAACTTGTGTAGTCCAAACACAACGGCTCTCATCTCTTTTTCAATTGGTGCGTAGTTTTTTCATAGTCGTTCCACACCTTTGACGCGTATGACACTGGTTTCCCATTGTGTAGGAGGACAGCTCCCACACCTACATGTCAGTCTGTATCGAAACTGGCTTTTCTAAGTCGTAGTAAGTCAAGATAGGTGTGTTTGCTATAGCTTTCTTTATGTCTTCGAATGCTCTTTGTTGCACCTCCGCACATTGGAAAATCTGATCCTTCCGTGTTAGCCTGTTTAAAGGTTCACATTTTGTCGTCAGTGAGCGATCAAATTTCGAGAGGTATTTAACCATTCCTATGAAGCGCCTTAGATGATGCAGATCGCGAGGTGCTGGGAATTCTGTGATTGCCCGTATTTTTTCTTCACCGGGTTTCAAGGTTGTGTTAGTCAGTGTATGACCCATGTAGGTAACTTCTTCTGCGAGGAATTTGCATTTGTCAAGGTTAATTTTAATGTTTCTTTCTCTGCATCTCTGCAAGTATGCTCGCAAGTTCTGGTTGTGGTTATTGATGGCTTGGTCTGAGTTGTTTCCAAATCCCTCAACCAGACAGTCATCTTGGATAATGCTAACCCCGTTTATCCCTTGGAATTGTTCGATCATTTTTGTTTCGAATACCTTGTTGGCTGGTGTGATACCCATGGGTAATCTTTTGTATCGATAATTGCCCTGAGGCGTGCCGAAGACGGTCAGTTCTCTTGCCTTGTCGTTCAGTTTGCAATGCCAGTATCCACTTCTTACGTCCAATTTACTACATTTTATTGCGTTTTTATTTGCAAACCTGTGTGTGATGGATTCCAAGCTTGGTACCTGGCAGTGGTAGTTGTTAATCAGTGCTTTGTTTAATTGTTTGGGGTCTAAACATATCCGGGGTTTTCTGCTGTGTTTTCTTTCAATCACATAGCTGTTGAGCCATGAGCTAGGTCCTTCCAGTTTCTCAATTATATTGTCCCTCATCATTTTTTTCTAGTTCCTGTTTAAATTGTTTTTCCAGTGCAAATGGGACACCTCTTATGGGTTGTTGTATAGGAACTGTGACTGGCTCTATTTGGAGTGTTAATTCACCTTCAAATTCACCAACTCTCTCTTCAAAAACGTCTGGGTATTCTAGTAAAATCCCTTTGATGGAATCATCAATATCTAATTTTCTGATGTCTTTCAGGGCTTGTTCCTTGAGGACATTACATTCTACAGCTGAAACTGTCGAGTCAAACTGATCTAGGTTGAACCCCATTAAATTTAGCTTTTGACAAAGACAACAGCTTAAAATTGGTTGTACCTTCTCATTCACAACCATGACTGAGGCTGTCACTTTTCTTCTGTTGACAGGGTTGATAAGTTCTACCCTCATTGTTCCTTCGGTTCTAACCCTTTTCCCTCCGTATACTGAAATATCAAGTTTCTTACCTTTTTTTTTAGTAAGTGCTCCATTTTGTTGTCCTTAACGAATGTTGCAGGAATTACATTTACAGTTGCTCTGGAATCTATCATGAATTTAATGGGCTTACCGTTTAATTTTAAATTCGCATGAACCTTATGAATTGTCTCCCCTTCAACGTGAAAACATTCATTAACTCTTTGCTCACTGTATTTTTTTTTCTTTTGCATCTAAAACATTCCTGACCATAAGCTGGACAGTTTCTTATTCCTTTTACATGTCTTCTCTGACAATAAATGCAATCATATTGTTTTTTTTTTTCTCTTCCAGTCGTATTGATATCTTTCTCGTATGTGTCGTCCTCAACATTTAATTTGTCGTATTTTTCAATTTTTTTCGACTGGATTTTACTTTGTTCTGCAGCTCTGCATCGGTCAATACACTTTGTCAGGGTTAAATCTGGTTCCCTCAGGAGAATTTCTCGCGTTTTTTACCGTATATTCCTATTATTTGTAATTTTATCATATCGTTCTCAGTGACGTTATTCCATTCACAATCTTCAGAACTCGATTTCAAATTTAACAAATAGTCCTCAAAGCTTTCATTTTCACTTTGTCCTTTCCGTAGGAATTCCACTCTGTCTACAGTCAATGTTTTCATGGGTTTGCAGTAGTCCTTAAATGTTTCGATAACCATTTCGAGTTTTTTTCGTCGTCATCTTCAATCGTTTCTCCTTTCGCATTCTTAATTGTTAGGGTTTTGTATATTTGTTGGCCCTTTTTTCCTAAAAGGTAAATAAACAAACTCCTTTTCTTCTTTTCAACATTTGCAGCTTTAGCGGTACTCTCTACCCTCCCCTTCAAATTTCTGAAATTCAAAAAAAAGATTCACTTCTTCAAGCCACTCGTTAAAGGCTTTGTGCAAATTTCTTACTGTCCAAGTCAACTTTGGGGTGGGCTGATTGACATCATTTTTGTTGTTTTAAACAAAGTAGTACTCACTCAGTTTATCGTCCGGTTCGTCCCTCTGACACCATGTTAAGCAGAAATAACTCCAAGACTTGTGTGTATTAATATACGTGTTTTATTTCTGGCATCTTATCAGGAACTGCCCCGCAGTTAAAAGCCCCTTAAGGCATTACAGATATTGGGCCGCTTATGTATATAAGTCAACCAACACCGAAGAGCGCACATTTTTATTTAATAAGACTTCTCGAACATTCAGGCCGGTAGACGAAAATAAATATACCGTTTAGTAAATAAAGCGCCTACTCAAATTCGAATATCGTATAAAAATCACGTTTAAAGTGATAAAAACCTTTTGGTTTAATAAAAACATCCATTCTAAAACTCTCTTTATTTACGTTTGGATAGAAAATGTGCAGATATGAAAAACTTCGACAGATTCTATTAGAGAAATTTCACTTGAAGGGACAAAATTTGGCATCATTTGACCGACTTCTCTTCATGGCCACGTTGGTTAAGGCGTGCCAGGCTTAACGATAGTTACTTCTTACCTGATGGACGCGCGTTCAAATCTTGCCGGAAAGCGCAATTTTTCTTTACTAAGATTTCTCGAACATTCACTTTGGTAGCCGAAAATAAATAAATATACTGTTTAATAAATAAGCAGAGCGCCTTCTCAATTACGAGTGTTCACTAGGAATAACTTTTAAAGTTATAAATTGTTATGGGGTCCACCCCTTTTTCATACAAGTGTGTACATGTACTGCTGTCGGTGAATACCCGGGAGGAACAGAGTAAGAGAGATACACTGATACAGTGAACAGTGAGAAAGTAAGAGTGTGAGGTAACCGAGTCACAGTTGCGAGCACGTAGACTCAGAAGGAAGTCCTACTTCGATACTGAATTTCCCAGACTATATATATATCATTATTGCTACTAACCGCATTTCTGGATCTACTAACCGTATTACCAATTGTCTTATTACGTCAATACATTTATTTGCTATATTTCATTCCTGCGTTTGTCATTCGTTTGAGACCGGATTTCATCTCGGAATCCACAACACAAATTAAACTAAGTACAACTGACTATTAAATGGTGAAAATTTATCATGGATTTTGATGTCATTCTGTGATTTTTTTTTGTCCAAATCCGTGAATTAGTTTTATTTATGCTAAGTCTTGAAAAAACAGTACATAAAATTCAATATTTTTTATTCATAATGTTGAATATGTTTAAAATTAAAATTATTCAACAATTTAACTAGAAAAATTTCAAATTGATGTTAAAAATTGCCACAAAATATTGTCGATTTATTTAAGATGGAATGATCTATTATAACATGTCTCTAATTTGTATTTAGATACATTGTATTTATTTTCAGTTTTCTAGTTGAATTTTTCATCTATATTGCATATAATCCATTATTTTACATAATTAGGTTACATTAAAATTTGTATTTTATATGAATACCACCTTATGAAGATTGAGACATAGTAGAGTTGGCAAGAGTATCGTAGATTTGGGGGGGGGGGTTCCCGTAACATAGATTCGGTGAGGGCCCACAAGACCCTTGCACCGACCATGAGAGCATGTTAAGGGAAATAGCGACACTAAACAGATATGGTTCCAGAAATTGTAAAAATAAAAAATAAGAATACAAACTAGTAACAATAACGAAACATGATTACTTGTACAACAGTGATAGCTTGTACAGGTAACGAATTAAGAGAGTACACTGAAATAGTAAGATGAGTGCGACAAACAGGTGATTTATCGCAGAATTTATTTCATCTGTACAGCCAGGTGATTCTAATGGAATTAGTTGACCTACCGGGATTTATTATCGACGAACGTAACGTTAACAGCATTAAGCTACGCTGACGATACTTAGTTGATGGCATATTCAGAAAAGATACAGAAAGAATTA